TGAACAGTAAGCAAAGATGACCAAGATGTTTACAGTGGTATTGAAGAAGACAGTCAGTACTAAAGTTCTGGTGGTACAAAACTATTCTTCGAACAAAGCTTGCTTCGTTGTGGCTAAGTGACGAAAATGGAGTTAACATGGCCGATTATTGTGTGAATCTACGAAGTGTGTTTAGCAAATTATATCTTTACAAAAAAAGGAGGTAATGCTTTGATTTTTACCATGCAAACAGATATTGTAATGATCTATATCTAGTGCAAAAATCACTGGAAAATCATGTTTAGTTTTCAAAATATAACTGTCCGAAGTTTGATTAGTCCGATAATTGATTAATTACTCTAGTTACTAATAAATATTATGTAATACTTTATACAGTTTTAATGTTGATACCTTCAATTGGAAGGAACTCTCTCCTACTACATCTCATCATGGCCCCTTGATGAAGGCTGACTCAAGAATGGTTGCACTACAAATCAAGGATGAGGACTATCTTGCAGTAATTGGAGGAGTTGGATCTTCTTCTAATAATACCCCACGACAACCTGGCGCCCAGTACAGTAAAGTTGCCGATTATCAATATTGTAATGAAGTACATATGTACAGATTAAAAACTGGTCAGTATAATATGATATTAGGTTTATAAATGTAGTTTATATACAGTAATTAAACTGATGTCTTTTGAATGTTAATGGCAGATAGCTGACCCACAACTGAAACCAAGGTTAAGGGTCTGGTATCTGCCATAAAGAGCTACCACACAGTCTATACAATATAAGGTAGACTTGATTAACTTGAGCAAAGGTAGCCATAGTGTACATGACAAGTAGTATTCCATCATTTTATCATAATGTGTCATTTAATGGAGTATCTTTGCCAATAGAGGGTGTCTATTTGAGCCCAGCAACAACTTGAGGGCAGTGTGTGTGTGTGTGTGTGTGGTATGTGGTGTGTGTGTGTGTGTTCATATTATTTTTATTATTTTTAGGTGAATGGACTTCACCAACTGTCACTGGAGACAGACCACCTCCTATTTCTCACTTCACTTTAACATCAATGACTAATACCACTGCTATTATGTTTGGTGGTTATTTTGGTGATAGAAGATGGAGTAATGTTGTATATATATTTGAATTTACTGATACATCAGTGGTGAGTGTATTATTAGTATAATTATTATACATGTAATTACCTTAGGCTTATTAGTCTCGCATAGCCAGACCCTGCACGGAGGGTGGAGTCTGGCTACGCGAGACTATAGGCTTATAGGGTGGGTATTAATTGTCACTAATCATGGTCCCCTTAAAAGTGCTAAAAATTTAAAAGCACAAATAATATCTACCCTAAAGCGTTAGTTAAGGTATTGTTATGTGTTATGATAATTAAATATTTTAGAAATGTAGAAAATTTCCTAATTCTGGAGGACCAGTACCATGGCCTAAGGAGAGATGTGCTCATTCTAGTGTATTGATCAACTGTAGCTCAGGACCACACCTACTAGTGGTGGGTGGATTCGGCAAAACAACTACTAATGACTGTTGGTTGTTAAAAATAAACAAAATGGAATGGAAAGAATTGGTAAGTTTTATAAAGTAATTGTAGTGAGCATGAGTGAGTCCTACTAGTACGAGACCACTGTGATCTGTCTGTCTATACATGTACGTCACATTCTCAATTATAGTACGACTGGTCAGTATAGACTTGTGCATATGATAAAGAATTGAAAGATTATGCTATGAGTACTGAGTTTTTAAGAAAGAGCTTATAAAGTCTGCCTTTGTTGTCAATTATGTCAATATGAGGGAATAAATTATAGGAGGAGAAATAACTTATTTTTATTAACCAGATATACATATATTATTTTATCATTATTTTTAATTATATAGACTTATATACCAGATAGTGTCACTGATAGACAGGGTCATTCTCTCTCAGTTTGGAATGAGACACAGACCACTCACTGGACAATTGAGTTTGGAGGGAAAAGGAGAGGTGGTTCAACAATCAGTGGTACAAGATTTATTGAAATCAGTGAGTACATGTATACATTAGTAGATACAAATTGTATTGAATATGCAATAATAATAATATTACAATAAAGAATGAGTAAGGGGTGAGGCTTTATGCATGCCTACTAAAATTACTGTACCGTATAAGTGTTTTTTTTCAAGGGCATTAATTTTGCAAAATCTACTAAAATTACAATTTGTGAATTTTGATTCTGTGAATTCCACCACATGTGCCATACGGGTACCGTATTAAGTTGATTATATTTTTGTGAATTAGGAAGGAATCTGCAAAATTTGTGAAATTTGCAACCCTTGAAAAACCTACTCATACGGTATAGCATTTAAAAGTGTGAATTCTAACAAGATTTGAATTTTGAAAGTATGTGTATTTGTGGGTGATGCAACTTTTAGCCACACCCACTCAATTAACTATACAACATTATAATTATTAGTAACTAGTGCTGGTGATTTGGTAGTACATTCATTGCTGGACATTAATGAATATCAGAAGAGAAGAATACAAGGTATTAACAGATACATGTACTAAACACATGTTTCACTTATGTGAGGTACACTCATGCTTGTCGACCAATAAATAATTCTATTTCATGCATTAATTAGCAGCTGATGAGATTCCTAACCATCTATTGTTTTGATAAAACCTTTTCCTAGAATCAATTGTTACTACAGCAATCATAAGTGCATGCACACAATCAGTAATGGTTAGGTAATATACACTCACTAATATAACCCACACTAATCTAATAATACAATAGACCTCTTTGTGTATACACAACACAGTTCCTGCTATGTTTATTAATTATGCTATTTCATTATTATATAGATGCTATAGGGAAGTGGATGGAGGAAGGGAGTGTTGATCTAACTGTTACTCGTGTTAATATGCTTGGTGCTCCTGGAGCTGGTAAAACCTGTTCACAGCTCCTCCTACTAAATGAAGACCCACCCACTAATGACACCAGTACACCTATAGCCTGCCCTGCCGTTAGGGCTATGAGGGTTGCCGTTTGCGATAAAACAATTTGGAATCGAGTGACTCGAGCCAATTTACTTGACCAATTAGCCACTGATTTGGATGCAGTTTCACAGGAAAAGAAAACAAAAGAGCCTCCTCTGCCTGTAGTCCTCTCATTGCCAGATAATACTCAGCCAGCAACAGAAATACGACCAGATCCATCTCCTACTTCACAGAAGAAGCCTGATCCAGCAGATTCATCAGAGACAAAAATTATTAAAGAAAACAAAGAGTATCATACCGAAGCAGTCGTTCAGGAAATTTTAGCAACTCAACCGAAAGGGATTCATAAAAGTGATCATTGGCTGTATGTTATTGATTCCGGTGGTCAGCCAGCATACCAGGAGTTACTGCCTTTATTCACTAGAGCAGCTTCTCTCAATATCATAACACTGGATCTATCTAAGCCTTTGAACGAGAGGTTTGATCTGATGTACAGGATCGATGGACAATACTTCCCATGCCACTCCAAGTCAACTCAGTTAGCATTCTTCCAGTCTGCAGTTTCGACTGGAGCTAGTTTTAAGCCTCTTGATATTTCGTGCATCTCCAAGAAACCAACACACTCCATGTATCTCGTATTGGGAACACATTATGACAAGGTGAGCGATGCAACTCTAAAAGAAAAGGAAGAGATTCTAAAGTCTTCAATGTCTTCATTGGAATCTTACTTGCAAAATTGCGTTATTCATCAATCTGATGATGATTCTATCATATTTCCAGTCAACGCGATTGCTGCATCTGAAGAAAGAGCTAAATACAGTGAAGAGATTTGTAAGGCAATATGGTTTGATGGTTCTGATGCTTCACTGGAAATCAAAATACCAATTCGATGGTTTGCATTTGAGCTGTCTTTGCCCGAGCAGAGTATTGTATCAGTTAAGGAAGCTTTATCTATTGGAGAAAGATACGGGATGAATGAGGAAGATACTAAACAAGCTTTGAGATATTTCCATGACGTGAGTCTCATGTTATATTATCCAGAAGTTACGAATGTGGTCTTTATCGATTCTAAGCCAATCCTCGAGATTCTCTCACAATTACTAGCTCTTACATACATTGATGATAGAAATGCCCGAGCATTAATATTAATCAAGCCAGTTTCTCGAGCCGTCACTATAAATCTCAAAGAAGGATTCTTTAATATAGAAATTTTTGAGCATTTAAGGTCAAAGTGTGTCGTATTTTCCCTGCCAGAGTTCCAGTTGTGTGACCTAATCAGACTCCTCCTTCATCTAAACATCATCACAGAAGTACAAAAAGGACACTACTTCATTCCTTATGCTCTTCCTTCATACAATGAACCAGTTTCAATTAAGGAGACTAATGCTAAGCCACTTTTTATTGTCTGGAGGGAAGAGAAGAGTGAAGAAATACTTAAGAGCGAACAAATCCTACCAGTTCCTACAGGATTGTTCCCTTTAACCATCGTACACCTACTCAACCAGAAAGAATGCATTACTAAAGTCTCTCCGTCGACACCAGGGTATTTTAAATTTCGAGATGCCATGTCCCTCAGGATAACCTTTAAAGGGAAGGAGGACACACTTCACCTCATCAACCGT